TTAAATGTCTCTTTCTAGGGTACTCTCGGACCCAAAAAGGATATAAGTGCTACAGTCCTTCCCTTCGGCGCTCCTTTGTTATTCCTGATGTGACTTTCTTTGAAAATGTTCCTTTTTTTCCTCACCTGAACCTACTTCCCTTGATACTCTATCCCCACCTCCTCTTCCCTTACCAATAGAGGAGGTGTTTGTGCCTACTCCTGTTGTTCAAGAGTCAATGTGACCACAGATCCATCGAGTGTATGCTCACGGCCCTCGTGGTATTATGTTTCAGCTTTCTCCATCCCTATCTCCGCCATCAGCGGCTCCTCTGTCGAAGGATCCATCTCATTTTGATCTTCCCATTGCGCTTCGCAAAGGTAAGCGTGCTTGTACTGAACATCCTATATCTCATTATGTTTCATTTGCCCATTTATCTCCATCCTATCAGAATTTTGTATCCCTTTTATCGTTTGTGTTTGTTCCTAGGTCTCTTCAAGATGTTCCTCTCTCCGGAATGGAAAAGGGCAATGGATGAGGAATTTTATGCTCTTCAATCCAATCATACTTGGGACCTCACTTCTCTGCCTCTAGGAAAGAAAGCAGTTGGTTGTTGGTGGGTTTACACTGTTAAGTATCTTGCCGATGGTAGTGTGGAGAGATATAAAGAACGCTTAGTAGCCAAAGGGTATACACAGACCCATGGTGTTGATTATACTGATACCTTTTCACCTGTAGCTAAAATGGGTTCGGTCTATGTGCTTATTTCCTTGGCTGCACACTTTGATTGGCCGTTGTTCCAATTGGATATTAAAAATGCATTTCTTCACAGTGACCTAGAGGAGGAGGTGTATATGGAGCAACCTCCAGGGTGCGTTGCTCAAGGGGAGGAAGGTAAGGTGTGCCGGTTGAAGAAAGCAATTTATGGGTAGAAGCAATCTCCGAGGGCCTGGTTTGGGAGATTCAGTAGTGTAGTACAACAGTTTGGGATGACACAATGTAGGGTTGATCATTCAGTGTTCAATAGAGACACTACCTCTGGGAAGATTGTGCTAGCAGTCTATGTTGATGACATCATTATCACAGGAAGTGATGAGCATGGCATTGAAAAGCTCAAACGATTTTTACAAAATTAGTTCCATACTAAGGACTTGGGGAACTTGAAATATTTTTTGGGCATAGAAGTAGCAAGGTCAAAGTTGGGAATCTCTCTCTCACAAAGGAAGTATGTGCTTGACCTATTGGAAGAAATTGGTCTTTTAGGGGCAAAGCCAGTGGATACCCCTATAGATCCAAATGTCAAGATGTCTGATAGTGAGGGGGAGCCCCTAGATTGATCCTGGACAGTACAGGAGAGTAGTTGGAAAACTAATTTATGTAACCATTACAAGACCTGACATTTCCTTCAACGTTGGATTATTGAGCCAATTCATGCAGAACCCAAGGACAACCCATTGGGAAGGTATTGTTAGAGTTCTACACTATTTGAAGGGGGCTCCAGGTAAAGGGTTGTTGTATAAGAAAGAGGGAGAACTTTCCTTGGAAGGATACACAAATGCTGATTGGGCAGGGTCAATTACTGACAGGAAATCAACAACCGGTTACTGCACCTTTTTGGCAGGGAATTTGATTACTTGGAAAAGCAAGAAGCAGAATATGGTGGCTAGGAGTAGTGCTGAGGCCGAGTGCAGAGCCATGGCCCACACTACATGTGACTTGGTGTGGTTAAGACAATTGTTACAAGAGATGGGAATATCAATCACAACCCCCATGAAGCTATTTTGTGACAACCAGGCTGCCGTTCATATCTCCTCTAATCCAGTGTATCATGAGAGGACCAAACACATAGAGGTGCATTGCCACTTTGTTAGAGAAAAGGTGGTTAGTGGAGAAATCATTACCCCATACGTGAAGTCTGAAGATCAACTAGCTGATTTGTTTACCAAAGGCTTGAGTGACCAGCTCGGATGAAATACATTTGCAACAAGTTGGAGTTGTATGATATATATGCTCCAACTTGAGGGGGAGTGTTAAAATACATCTTTGTTTTTAGGGTTATTTTAGTCTTTTCCCTTCTTTAAATCAGTGTTTTTTTGTCTCTATTCTCAAGCATTTGAATACAGGAGTAATAATGTAATTTCACCTTTTACTATGAATTAATCATTCAGGGCAGCAGTTCTCTTCTTCGATAGAAACTGCAGAGCCCTATTCTGTTCGACCTTTCTTCTCCTCTTCTTCTTCTTCATCCCTTCTCCTTCTAGGCTCATAGCAGAAGCCTTCTTTTTATTTATTTAATTAAGTACAGGCCTGATAAGTGATAACAGGGTTCAATGTTCCAAAACCAATGTCACTTAATTGTAATAACAAGGTTGCAATCAACATTGCTCACAATCTAGTAATGCATGAGAGGACAACACACATCAAAGTGGATAAACATTCTATTTGTGAGAAGCTAGAAAGGGGTGAAATTTGTATTTCTTATGTGTACTCTAATGAGCAGTTGGGAGGGGGAGTGTTGTTAGGGGTCTTTTTATGTATGTTTTTTATACATTATTTCTACTGTTGGTATACCTGAGGGTATATTGGTCTGTGGATGCTGCCAGACCACTTTGCTTACCTAAATTCTTTGTCTCTTATTCTTCTTTCTCTTCCAAATCAACCAAGACAAATGATTCCTATTTGGTACTTCTCTGGCCAATGCATCCGTCATGCAATTGGCTGATCTTTGAGTCCATTTGAATGTAGATTTTAGTTCCCTAGACAAGTATCTTATTTCTTTCAAAATATTTCTATATTGCCCACCCAATTACTACCCTTGAAACCCCTTCCACCATCAAATCATTGTAGTTAAAAAGTCTTCCTAGTATCAGCCCTTGAGTTACATCAAGCATCTCAACTTTAATTGAATTTTCTTAACTTATGGGTCCAGAGTAGATTGCCATGATTGGACCACCATAATTTTTGAACATTCCCTCAACACCCAAATTTCCCATATTATCCAATCTGTAGCCATCAGTTCAATTTTATGATGTTCACAGGTAGTGGGGACCAAGTTACTTGTGCATTGTTTCTAGCCATCAGAGGTTGTGTGATGCCAACCTCTGATAATTTCATCTTAGGAGAAAGGGAAAAAATGGATAATGATTTAACCAAATGAACCACACTTATTGCAATAAGAAATGAAAATAATGGAAACAAAGGACTTATTTCTATAATGTCAAAAGGCTAGGGACACAAGGACCTTCTTCCTCTTATCTATAAAATGAGTTGAAGGTTCCCAAATCATCATCACTTTTAGTAATTCAAGAAAGACTGAACATAGCTTTTGAGGATTGAAGTCATATTCTACAGAGGATCACCCAGTCTGCAGCTTTTGGGAGAACATAGAGAGAAAGAAAAAGGTGAATTTTAGAAAAAGCTCTGAGATTGCTTCCAATATTTCTTTTCTTTTTCTGGTTAATAAATAGAAATACAGAATTTTATGTAAATAAGGTGGTGTAAAAGTAGAGACAAAAAGAATATCTTTGACTTACAAAATGCAGTTAAAACAAAAGTAATAAAACATTGTCAATGTTCTAATCAATTCCTCATCCTAGCTTAAACCACCTCATATCCTTGAAACCTTTAAATACAAAAGCAAGTCCATCATCCTTCCTCACTTCAACTTTTTTCTTCTCCAAAAGCTGATCAACTACTTGAAGTACTTGACACATGTTGCTAACCCCCATGAATAAAACCTCCACTCTTTTCCCAATTTCAAAATTTATCTAAAGATTCAGGAGAAAATTCTAGGATATGATTGAACTCAATCGCCCTCTCCACACATCCCTCAAATCTCCTCTTCCAAAGTGTTAGATTCAGAAGAGCCAGAAATCAGAGAGGCATCTATCAACCACCCCCAACCCCCACCATAACCTCAAGAAAATGAGATGAATTAGATTCCTTAACTTCCATGGTCTTGGTATGCGAAGTGTAGGCAACTGAAGATCTGGAATTATTGAAGAAACCCTTTAAGAAGACTTCATCAGCAACCATTCTCATACCAGTGTAGGCAACAAGGGATCATTGCTTGGTATAATGGTAAAGTCTTGGGTTGACAAGTATGAGAATGCAGTTTCAAGCCTGAAAGTGGCCACTTTGTGCAAAAATATGCCAAAGTTTAGGTCCATATCCTGTGAACCCCTCCCAAGAGCCCAGATAGCTTGGACCAACATTGGGTAATGGCCTTTTTAGACATGACTCACGACAACAGTCAAAAACATCAGGATCAGAGACTGCTGCCATCACAAGAGACATGAATTCCAGTATGTAACTCTTTCCACTTGTTTCAATTCCAAAAATAACGAACTCTGCAGTAGTGATTGATTTGCCAATGACCCCTGTGCTTTAGTGTCTGCCACTCACATATCAGCTACCACCCGGCCTTAACATCTTCTCCACCTTCATATTCCCCTTGCTGGTGGGTGTCAATAGCTCCAGTAATATGCACACAAAAAAATTGCCACATACAATTGAACATTGTTTTAAGAAAATCTTCTAATGATCTTTTTAACTTCAACCCTTCAACCCCCCCCCCCACCCCAAGGCCAAAGCCTACAAATGGATTTAAGCGATTGGATAAAACAATAACATAGTTGCCAACATCACACCTATATAGTGGCCAGTCCATAGAGCAAGTGAACAGCCAATCCATTAGACCCAACAGCCAAAGAGGTTGAATCATGTTCTTACAATCTCCATGCATTACAACACATCGGAACAATATAAATGCCACTGATAAATAACATATATGTCCTTGGTAACTGTAAATATAGTATGATTTAATAATTTAATATTTGATCTCATAGTAAGATAACAAGAATATAATATCAGTGACAATACACAAAAAAAAGTTAAAATAAAAGAATGTGCACACAGTTTCATGGATGCTATTAAGAAGAATCCATACTACAAAAACAATTACATTCTAAAAATGAAGAAATTAGAAGATATGATACTTTACCAACCCCAATGGATCTTACCAGATTTTGAACGAAAGTATTCGAGAAGTGATGTGTATAGTTGCCTCTTAGCATTAAGGGAACATTATTTTCAAAAACCCTGAATATATTACCAAGAAAAAATATTTATATGAAAAAAAAATACAGAAAATGAGTGAAGAAATAAAAGCATAAAAGAAATTTCATCTTTCTGTAATATAAAGGTTAGTATATATATCTAGTCAGAAAAAAAATAAAGTGAAACAGTACGTAATAATGGAAAGGCTAACATTTATGCTCCTTAATGGTATTAAAGCATCATCTAGGCACCAACTAGGTGTTTTAGAGGCCTATCGCTTCGGCAACTTACAAAGTGGGTGACTAGGTAGTACAGGTAAACACTTCAGTGGGGGACAACAAGTAATTATCCCCCATAATATATTGATATGACTATCATCCATTTTAGGTCAATATGAGCATATGCAACCCACTTTCAAACATAAATTAAAAAAAAAAAAAAATCTATCTTCTATTCTGAAAATAAGGTGTACATAAGAATATATGACTTAATTTTTTGTTAAATGGTTTAAATTACAGTAACATGACTTATCTATATGTATTAATGGTATATTATGTTTGTAACATGAAAGAAGAAGAAAACAGAGGAGAGAAAGACGGGAGAAGAAGAGAGTGAATAGGCGGCAATATCTTCCAGCTGGCCCTAAAGAGACATTTATATTAACTTAATAAATTACATGATTGTACAAAAATGCCCTTGATTAGAAATGACCTAAGAAAGCCAATACCATGACTAACTAAGGCCCAATAATTTGAGGCCCACTAATACCCTTAACTTCAAACATAAACAGCCCAATGGGACCACACATGTGGTTACCTATCACAAAACTCCCCCTCAATCTGAGAAAAGATATCCATCATGCCCAGATTGCCAAGAAGACCATGGAACTTCATTGAAGGTAAACCTTTGGTAAGTACATCAGCCTGTTGCATTTCTAATGGAATGGAGGGAATGCAAAGGTCACTAGAGACAATCTTCTCTCGTACGAAGTGTCTGTCCACCTCTATGTGTATAGTTTTATCATGTTGCACTGGATTATTTGCAATATTGATTGCAGACTTATTGTAACAATACAGTTTTTTATATCAATAACAGAATCAATTTCATTAATTAGAGTAAGTACAAAGGATGAAAAAGGGGGAGAGACAAAAACTCTTAGCCCTCCCCAACAGAAATTTCAGTTACAACATAGCCCAAAATAAGGTGTTCCCTCCCACCCCTAGTTTGGCAAGTGTGTCAGCAAAAGCATTGGCGTCTCTTCTCACCCATTTGAAATTCACTTCCACCCCCTGTAACGGTCTCTTGACTTTCCTCTTGTCTTAGATATAACACCACCACCCAATCTCCTCTTCCTCCCAAAGCCACTTTATCACAAGCTTTGAATCACCCTCTACTAAAAGCTTCCGGATGATCATCTCTTAAGCCCTTTCGAATGCCTTCCAAAATAGCCGTAATTTCCACCCTCAATGAATCACTTATTCAAACTGGACCCAAATAGATCTCAATGACTTTTCCTTCCTCATCCCTAAAGACTCCTCCAATGCCAAATGGATCTGGGTTCCCTTCACTGCTACCGTCAAAGTTGAGCTTAATAAAACCACTAGAAGGAGGGGACCAAGAAGGCTAACAACCTCCTTGATAGGAGAAGAATATGCTACCTCCCTCCAATTCCTCATCAAAACATCCAGTGGTATCCTTAAAAATATTCAATGTCTTCACTCAATGGGCTACTCTGATGGCAATGGCTTCAATGATAGCATCCTACTCCTTTCTTCATCAACAAAAATTCTCTAATTCCTCTCTTCCCATATTGTCCAATAGACCGCTGCCCTCATACACTTCCATAAGATTCTTCCCCTCTTCATTGGCCAGCTAAAAACATAGAGGCAAACAAACTTTGTACATTAGGAGGAGGGTTCCACCTACATCCAAACAAACAAAGAAACCATTCCCAAATTGAAGAAGAAAAAGAGTAGGAAATTAATAAGTGACAACAATTCTCACCATTGACCCTAGATAGAGAACACCAGTGTGGGGAAAGACACCAATTAGGTCTTTTTTCTTTGCAATAAATCAAAAGTATTAATTCTTTCTTGGAACACTTCCCAGCACAAACCAACCAACCTATGCAGAATAGGTTTACTCCACAGCTCCTTAACTGGGAAAGACAACCATTGACAATCACTCGATTGAAAGGATGAGAAAATGAAGCACAAGTGAAAGAACTAGGGTGAGACAAAGTTCATATCCTCCTATCCCTTTTTGTCATATCCAAACACACCCCCTCAAGGTTTTGAATCAAACACATGAAACTTGTAATTTCACACACACATAGTCCCCTTCTAAACCCTAAGTCCCAACCAAACCCAATACTTGAGTTAGATGGGAAGAAAAAAGAAGAAATGAATTCCTCCTTACGGCTGGAAATGGCATAGAGTGAGGATAATTGTGTTTTGATAGGAAAATTGCCCACCCAAACATGACCCCAAAACTTAACAAGAGAACCAAACATGCAACTATATCTGATAAAAGGTAAGCAAAACAGAAGAATATCACAAATGGACTTCCAAGGAGAAGCTCCTGTAGCCCTAGCCAAAGTTCCAAAGTCCCAACCATCAAACACAAGCCCATGAATACTAAAAATCACCTTCTTCCACAGCTTATCCCTGTCAAGAGGTAATCTCCATAACCATTTCCCCAACAAAGCAATGTTCCTCTTCTGAATTTTTTTTAGAAAAGACAACAGATTTCATTAGATCAAAAAGGGAGGGATGTACAAAGCCTTGTCTACAATGGTAAAGTATGATCACTATACAAACAATCCCTTCCCAGCCCAGATTTAGCTAGATTATTAGCCACATGGTTTAATTCTCTAGGAATCCATCTGAAGCTGCATTGAAAGTAAGAACCCAGCTCCCTGATTTCTAACAGCAAATGAGATAGTTTCCACGGGTCCAAAGTCTGTCCTGAAGCCCAGCTTATAACATTCCTTGAATCTCCTTCAACTACAATAAGACAGAACTGATAAGATTTGCCAATTCTAAGGCCTTCCAGGAGGGCGCTAGCCTTTACTTCAGACGCATCAGCCGCCTTTGCAGGACCACTAAAGGCCCAAGTCACATCTCCATTCACTCTTCTGATCAAGCCTTCTATTCCAGCATTTGGGTTGTTGCTCTTCTGAATATTACCGATACCTAATCCTCCAAACTTCTTACTCCTACACATCACTTTCCACCTTACTCTATGATCCTTCTTCTCATTACCTACCTCCCAAGAAAAAAAAAACCCATCAATTTCTCTAGCCTTCTACTTATCCCATATGGAATCCTAAAGACTAATAAATAATAAGCAGGAAGGTTGGCTAACTAGATTTAAACAGAGTGATTCCTTCTCCTAGAGACAAATAACTACTCTTCCGCGAGGTCAATTTCTTAGTGAAGCGATCAAGAACAGGGTTACAAAAGTTACTACTCTTTGGATTATCCCCTAAAGGTAAACCTAGATAAGCCATAAACCGCTGAGAAATCATACAACCCAATATTTTTACACTTTAAGTAATCTCCCTTTCCTCCATATTCAATCCCACCATGCAACTCTTATCAAAATTAATTTTTAGATTGGACATTTCTCAAATAGTTGCACGACCATCTTTAAATTCCTCATCTATCCAAGATCACCCTTTTCACAAAAAAAGATTGTATCATCAGCAAACTGTAGGTGGATAATAGGTACATCTTCTCTACCCACCCACCATCCCATTATTAATCTTCTAAAATTTGCCTTGTCAATGAGTCTCTCAAACACATCTGCAATCAGAGTGAAGAGGAATAAGGAGAGAGGGTCCCCTTGCCTAATTCCTCTACAAGCTAGTAAATGATCCACAATTGTCCCATTAACCAAGATTGAGTAATGGCAAGTCTTAACACACCTCATTATCCATTTACACCATCTCTCGCCAAACCTAAAACTTTCCATGACCTTCAACAAGAAACCCCAATCAACTAAATCATATGCCTTTTCCAAATCCAATTTATAGACAAACCCTTTCTTGCTCGTTCTCTTCATATCCTCCACACATTAATTGGTTAATAGACTTTACGGAATCATAGCTACAGTGCTTAGTTAATTATGTCTTGCTTGTGCTCTTCTGATCTTCCAAACTCATTAGTATTCCATTCTTTGATTTTGCCTTTAAGTTCCTTCAACTTCCAATGAAACTTCATTCCTTCCCATTTCACCCGTGGATTACTTTCCTCCCACCAATCCTTAACTCTCTCAATAAATCCACTAGAGCACAACCACATGTTTCAAATATAAAAGGAGTTGGACCTCTACCCCTCACATCCTCCTCAAATATGGCAATTGGCCAATGATCCGAGGTCACTCTTGGCAAGGCTCTAGATACTAAAGTGCCCTATGATCCTCCCAATCAATGGTAAATAAAAATCTATCCAATTTCGAGCAAATAGGGTCAGCCTGCAAGTTAGACCATGTAAAGTTGCTATAGGAAAGAGGCAGTTCCTTAAGCACAAAGACACCAATGAATTGGTTAAATCTCCTCATACTGAAATTTGTTCTCCATCTTAGATTAGTGGTTTCTTCCTAGAATTTTACCACATTTAAGTCCCCCCAAGGCACCAAAGCTTGTCCCTCATACCCCTAATATCTTCCAATTCTTCCCAGAGCTTATTTCTCTCCTGATATCCATTAGGCCCATACACATTTGTCAATACCCATTCAAATCCATCTAACACTTGCCTAAATTTGATGGAAATTGTGAAGTAACCCACCAACTCTTCAATTCCAACTAAAGATTCACTATTCCACATTGTCACAACACCTCCCGAGGCTCCCCATGATAGGTATATAGCCCAATTTAACCCCTAGCTTTCCAAACACTCCTAGCCCATCTTTTGTTAAAGTTCATCACTTTTGATTCTTGAATTAACAAAATATCTGGCTTTTTCCTTTCTAAGAACCTCTATGATAATAGCTTTTTTCCTCACCCTCCCTAAAACCTCTTACATTCCAACTCACAATCT